ACTCCTCGTACGAGAAGCTAATTTAAAACACGGAACTAATTCGAGCCGAACGATATACTCGCGGCGGAGTAGTTTGTCTTTTTGCGGTCACCTCGCAGCAGCTGTGTAAGTAGCTCTTTACGTCTTGCATGTAAATATTAATAAACCACCTCAAAGCTGAGCTCTGTACAGAGCTGAACGCGAGCAACAGGAAAACGCAAGCAGTACCTGCAACAGCGAACACACACACACACACAGACCGAGGGTGAAACCGGTCACTCTTAAAAAAACATTTCTGAGAAAACAACGAGCACCTCTGAGACAGCATCGAACCAAACGATGACACGTTGCGCTTGTATTGTTGAGAAAGTGTAATATTCTGGGTTGGGTTAGTGGAGTCTGTAGCGCCTTTTGAAACTTATTTGCCCACACACCGTCAAAGAAATGTCAGTGGCACTAAACAAGTCAAACGCCTCCCTTTTTCCTGAATTCATTCACGACAGAAAAATCAATTCTGCACCGAGTGCTGTGCTCTTGTTTAGAAAAGAGGTTCGCTTTATTTTTGTGGCTTTCTTTTTTTTTTCTTGCTACTCATTTAACTGCTTCTTGGTTTTGCACGGCATCTACTGTACAACACCCTTGTTTTCATTTTTTTTCCTCTGCACATGACATATTTTTGAGGTTCGTCTGCGCACCCACACTGATGCGGGCGTGTTTTGACACGTTTCCTCGACAGATTATTAAATCCTCTTCAGCCTCTAATAATACTATTATGTTTACGTGCGTGTGTGTGTTTTTTGTTGCGCGAGACACTTGCAGAAAGAGCTCAAAGTCGAACCGGTGACAGCGCTAACCCCCCATGCTGCGTCTGTGTGTTTGCTCAGACTGGATCCGCAGACTAATTTGTATTAGTAACCAAATAATCGCATTAATTCCCATTAGAAGCATCACAAGTGGTGAGCATGAAGACATCACAACACCTACGTAGAGTAAGTGATGGCGCTGACACACTAAATAAAGACGCCTCTCGATGCTGAGCCAACAATCATATATTTCCTTATTCATTTTCAGCCTTTTCTCCCCCTTTTGTGTGCCAATTATTAGTGTCCTTTTATATGAAAGGCACATAATACTTCATTTCTTCAGGGACGTGTGGTTTAAAAAGCAGCGGGCCAGATATGATACCACTGATAAGTGTGTTATGGGGAAAAAAACACACGCGGTACCTGTGATAATGCACACACCGAGGGTGAAATATATTTTAATATTATTTAAATATGAGGTGTCTCTTTAGCATCCAGTCTGTCATGTCATTTTTCATGATTTCTTTACAAATGTAGCCATCAGGCACAAAATCCTGCCTGAACAATTACACTTGTGTACATGCATCTCCCCGACACAAAGCCACACAAGGCTTGTAAAAACCCACCTTGAACAGAGCTAAATCTGCATTCAGCACATGATTATAACGCCGCACAGCTAGTATTTTTAAAACGGCTTTCTGTGTTTCAAAACCCATTTTTCCCTCTTTTCTGTGTGATACAAAACGGTATATGTTAATTGATAATCAGCAGTGTTGATTCAGTGGTGCATTCAGTGCAAATCTGTGCCCTTCTGGATGTCAGAGGGTTTTCACAGCCACGTCGGTGCCAACCTAGCTGGCAGTGCCGGCACCTGTTGGCGGTGCCAAGGCCTGGCAGGGGTTATCGATGCTCTCTGATGGTGCCCGACAATCACAGTGGAAATGACTGCGGCTGCTTGCGTCATGCCAGATAGAAAAGAGCATTTGCCGACAATGGCTCGCTTTCACCATCGCTCCTGTTTTCCGGATGCTGCTAACGACGGCCAAGGAAGAGGAAAAAAATGGTTAAAAAAAAAAGGAAAGAGAGAGGAACGGGAGCCGCTGCCGTGAACATCATGTAAAACATGTCAAACGTGGAAAACATGTCAACGTGCAGAACGTTGAGTAGCAATGCTGTGCAAGCCGAGGTGATGCAAAGCAATCTGCTGAAGAGAAGGTGTGGGTGTAGGGGGGCTCCAGCCTGTCAGATTCATGTTAGTTCATATGCACAGAGAACCTGAAAAGGAGGCACATGCATGCACACACACACGATATTCATGATTATTATTTCTATTCATGAAAAATAAAGTCAAATGTCCTTTACTTTCATGTATCTATGATGTGGTAAACTTACAAATAATCCATTCGTGACTTTTATGTCTTGGTGGAAGTCTTGTTGCTGAATAATATGAATCTCTGATGTATAAATAGTATTTACTCCACAGTTTGGGTCCTTTAACCACACTGCACACCACAGCTGGGTTTAATGCAAGTGTTGGCAGCTCACTGCAAACCAGAGACTGGTTGAGATAAGAATTGATTGCTGAATCTTTGAGTGACAACCTCCGCACGTGAATTCAAACACGCTGGGGTCGCATATCAGCATTTTCGACAACTCTTCTACTTCCTGTTAAAAAAACCACACAAGACGTGGGACCCTTTTAAAATGCAACCGCCTCCTCAAAACGTACACCTCACACTAACTAGGTGTCAATATTGCAAGACGTTCCATCTCAGGTCCGAAAGGTGAGTTTCGCGTTGCATTTATTTTTTTCCGTTAAAAGCCTCTTTGATGGCCTCCTGCTATGAATTCCTAATGCAGTCTTTTTGGACACAAATGTATTTTCAAATGAACAAACTTTTGACCCCACAAAGGTGGGTGGAACAATGATTTAGTTTCACAACCAGGGGGGTGAATGAGAGGTGCAACTGTGATGCATCACTTCTTCCTTGATTGGTTTTTTTGATCGGTTCCAGGTTTGGCTTTATTTTTAAAGACCTCCAGGTCTTTCCCTGCCTAAAAGAAGCACTTTATGTAAATTTAGAACCATTTTCTTTGTTGGGCTTCTCCGACTGCCGTCACTGGCTAAGCTGAGATGCTTACAACTGCCGGGATGCATTGTTTATGAAACAGCAGCTTTGTGTGAGACGATTTGCCGTCTTTTTTTTTTTTTGAGCTTTATCAACCCTGCAAACACATCGTAAGTCAGCATGCAGTGTTATGTTCATGCACACCTGACCTCCACGATCTTCTGTCGATGTGATAGGTACACACACTTCCTGTTTTCTGTTGGTTTCCTGTTTTTGTTCTTGCACAGCCTGGACAGGCGTGCTTCTTCCTTTCTCTTTGATGTACACACTGGCCTGATGACAAAGCCACACCTTATGTTGAGTGTGAAGAAGAGCACGTTTTTTATGAAACAAGTGTCCCCATGCTTTCATTTAATGTGTAAAATCTATTTCCCCATGTATGCTCAACGCTGAACTTTGCCTCACACACTCCCCCATCTGGCTCTTTCTAGGATCTAAAGATGGAGAGTCAGATACGCCACCCCTCACACCACGTGTGGGTGTGTCCATCATTAAAATGACCTTTTTCTCATGAAGTCAGAGCGAGGATCTTATTATTGGGTCACCTTAATGGTTCGGTAAAAACACCAGATCAGGCCTTTATTGACAATACCAACAGATTAACTCGTGTGATGTTTTGGCAGTTCGGCCAGCAGGGACTGGTTTGAGAAATAATGACAAAATAATGACAATAGCTTAACATCAGCCTGTTCAGGGTTTTTGTTGACAATATCAACAGAGATTAGCTCATCTAATATTTTGGTCTAACTTGCAGTGGAGGTAAAGTTTTAGCACATATGGGAAGACTGCTAAAAGCTAAATGTTGAGAGAGGGAAATGAGAGATGTGGCAATGAAGACTGCTTTAAAAAAATGTATTACTTGTACTATTTACAAAGCAATAAGTCAATAATAGCCCTGAGAAATCACTAAAGCTTAATATTCAAGTTGATAAACAACCAACGTACATATTAATACAAAAATATGAGTCTAAATTGTATATTATTGCTGTAAGGGTGGAAAATGTAAATAAATATATTAATATGTAGTCACTTTTTATTTGAAATAAAGCTATTATCTGCTTTTTAGACTTATATGTGTGATTTCTTATATTACTTTGTAGCGTATTTAGTTTTATATTTTTATTTAGTCTTTATTTAACTAGGAAAATATGACTCTTGAGATTAAAAATATCTTTTGGAAATGTGTGTCTGCCAAGATAAACAGATAAACATCAGCACAATCAACTGTGATCAGTAATCCACACATGGAATAGGAAAACGCACAAAATAGGTACTTATGTGTGTGAGACAAAGCAAAATGGTTAATTTTAAAGCTCAGACATAAAGCAGGGTCAGTCATGGTCAACCATCATATTTGCATCCTGAGGTCATTTAAAGTGGCCTTAAATATATTTGGTGTATGGTTTGGATCAAACTCCAAACAATATTTCTACTCTGCAAAAAAAATATTTTTATTCCTAGTTATGAGATTATTTTGGAGTTTTAAATAAACGGTTTTTGTTTTTTGCAAACACAGCATTTGTTACATTTTTTCTCACTTTTACTTTTTGATTTCAGTTTGTCTCAAAGGGCCAGCCACCGTCCTTATTTTGCTATTCTGACTCCATCTGAATGTAGATTAATTTGTCAAACAAAAACTATACATTTTCCCAAAGTAAAGTCCTGAAATAAATAAATAAATAAATAAAACACATCATAAATTAAGGTATCGCGCGCGCGTGTGTGTGTGAGCATCTGTGTGTTACTCGGTAATAAATGCAGGACCGCCTCACTCTAATCAAGCTGATTAAAAATTCCTGCGCGCACAGCCGGAAATCGCACCACCGTTCCTCCCCGTTGTGTGTGTATTAGTGAGTGCGTGTGAATGCATGTGTGTTTATGTGTGTGTGCTTTCGCTCCCGGTCCACTTTCTCCACTTTGTCTCCGCCAGGACTTTTCCTGCCTGAGACGCGGAGGAATAATCTGCTGTGATTTTAATAGGGAAGCTGCTGGTGCTGGTGGTGTGTGAGGGGATTATTCCTCTTATTTTCTCTTATTCTCACACACTTTACACCCCATCTCCTGCGCTCTCTCTCTCCCACACACACATCCCCATCCTTTCTTCTATTTTTTTTACCCTATTTTTTTTACCCCCTCTTACCACGCCATTTGAAATGAGGAGGAGAGAAGGAAAGCAGAGGCAGCGGCAGCACCAGCAGCGAGGAGAGGAGAGGGGGGAGTGATGAGTCAATACAACTAATAATTTAATGGGGACAGAGAGGGAGAGACGGAGTGAGAGGGGGAGAGACAGAGAGGGAGATAGAGAGAAAGAGGAGCTCCGTCCGGACGCCAATCCCCAGCCAACAGGACACCTCCTACTATTACTATCAAGGCAGCTCTCTTATGCATCCACAGCGAGCCTTATTCATCCTCGGCATCGGAAAGTAAACCGCACTTTTTGACCCCCCTCTCCTTGTTTTATTTTGCGAACCTGTTTCGACTGTCCGCATATCGTCTCCACATCGCCTCCATGGCAAGCTCACACAGTCGCTTCTTAGTATTTTTGCTCTCTCTCAGTCTGCCGGCAGTCAAATCTAGCTAAGCCGACGCTGAGCTATTTTTTCCCGTAGTCCCTCCGTGAACACACGCAGCGAGGGTTTGTTAGGTCTCGGCGGCGGTTGTTGTTGTTACAACTGTGTCCGAGGTGCTTGTGGTTCGTGCTGGCCGTACTGCGCGGCTGCCTGCTCGCCGTTTTGGATGTTGTGCTGCGAACTAAAGCCGAAGTCGCCTTCACTTGTGAGCGTTGCTAAATGTCGCCGGTTTTAACGCTTTCCGTTGCCGTCCTTTTTCCTCCACTTGGACGGAATTGGCTGTAACGTCAGGGCTGCACACTCCTGTCTCTCTCCGCTCCTGCCGCACACGCACAACCGCTTACCAATGTTCGCCTATCACGGTCCATCTCGACCTCGTCCTCCCTTGCACAGACCCGGGTTGTTGTTGTTTTTTCGCACCGCCTGCCAGTCCTCCGCCAAGAAGAGCAGGAGAAAGCATCTTTTTAAACACTGATTTTGGGAACCCCTCGCTGTCATGCACACGTAGAGAGATAACAAGAGAGGAACCGGGAGTTGTTTTTGGGGAGGGGGGGTTTCTTTCTTTTTTCCTTTTTCTTCTTCTATCTTTTCTACCCTGGCCAAACTTGAAGAAGAAGCGTTTTCCAGCCGGTGTTATATGCTCTCCAGTGCTGAAGTGCTGCGGTTCAGGTTGGTTTGAAGTTTTTTTTCTTTTCTATTTCTTTTCTTTCTTTTTTTTTAAACTCAACTTCTCCTCTCTTAACTCCCACCCCCCTTTGAGCAGGGGCGTCCAGGATTTTTGTAAATGGGGTGGCCCAGAACAAAGCAAGGGGGGGGCCTTGTAGGAAGCAGTGTTTGATGAATTGATTGTGACTTGTTTTGTATTAAGAAACTCTTTTAAAGTGGTTAAACTCTTTATTTAAGTCAAAATCTACAAGTACAAAACCTTTAGCAGTACTTTTAGGTACTTACAGTTAAAATATTGATAATGCAGAAAAATATGCATCATCTTATCATATTTGCTGATTCAATAGTGTACATAGCACTTTATTTTGCATCAAAAGACTAATTTAATTATTTTCTATATTGTTGGGTAGCTTTATTTATAATATTACATTTTTTTTATTGGATTTTTTTAAAAAAAATTGAATAATAATAAGTGGTAAAAACTTGAAAGAGTTTTTGTGTTTTAAGGTCATATAAAAATCCTGACCTGGATCCAGACTGTATCCGGGTCTGGATTCCTTTGGCTCCCTCTCTGTGGGGAATTAGTTGCTTCATTGGATGTTATGAATCGAGGAGTTCATGATCTTTTGAGTGGGGGTGGATGATTTTGCCCTTTTCACTCTTTGACGACAGCATTCCAGTTCAGTCCACTGGCACCCACTAACCACCACGAATAATTATTTTTCTGTTGTGTCCTAATATTATTCATATTATTATTATTATTATTGATCAGATTTTCAAACTTTGCCCGAGCACTTCAGATGATGTAGGAAGCTGTGTGTGTGTGTGTGTTTGTGTGTGTAAGCACACCTGTGGGTAAAGCAGCCATCCTCCATCTTTCCTTTTTGTCTCTTCCTCCCTTTTCTTTCCCACTTTAGATGACTACCCTCATGAGTCAGCTACTGCCTGTTTTGGAGTTTCCTCAAGCTGCTTTCTCCCCCCCCCACATCCTAAAGTTGTAAACTCATTGCTCGCCACGGGTGTTTCGCTGCACTTGCAGAATCTAAAAATAAAGTTCACACCTGTAAAAGCTTGTAACTGATTTTGTTTGTCTGTCACAACAAAATGACGGTGCGGCCTTTTGCCTTCTTTCTTTTTCTTTCCTCCAAGCTGCGTCACGAATGGTAAGCCACACAAAGTGACTCACAAACTGAATTACGTTAGTTTCCCCTTCCGTGCGTGCTCCGCAGCACAACCTTGTTCCTTGAACTGTGCTGTATTTATTGAAGTGGAATCTCCCAGCAAATTAATGTATTTGCTCTAAAACCTCGGCCTGTTTGCCTCCGCTCGCATGGGAATTTCTAGCGGGACACCCATACATAATACATGCGTTAAAAAATGGGAACATTACAGCAGCAAGATGACATCACCGTGGCCCGAGTCATCATAACCGAGGCGAATTGACGGTTACTGCCGTAATGGGTCCGTTTTCAGAGGTCTCAATTACTTAAAGGACTTTTTTTTTGCTCTATAAAAATGTCGCTTCACATCTTCACATGTCAGTGATATCAACACAAAAGATTTCGCGCTCATCGCTCCTTTCGTATCACATGGCAACTCTTCATTCTCCTGCTTCTTTTATGCCACACACATGTCTCCCCTGGCAGCTGATTATATGTTGTTTCTGCCTCCCCCAGGTGATAGTGAGCTGAGGTGCTGAGAATGATGGAACATCTCAGCGAGACGTGTTTGGGCAAGGAGAACTCAGAGCTGGTCAACAGCATGGCAGACGCCAAGGCCCCGCCGGCCAAGCTGCCCCGGCTGGAGCAGAACGGCAGCCCTCTGGGCCGGGCCAGGCTGGGAAGCACCGGGACCAAACTCGGAGGGGTCCCGTACAAACCCACCAGCCACCTGCTGAAGACCTGCCATAAGAAAGGTAAGAAAGACGGATCAAAAGGAATTTATTGAGAATAATTGTAAACATTTATAGTTCCTAATATCTCAGATTGGTGTTTTCTTTTTTGTTTTTTGGAGTGTTTATTGGCAAAATAATCAATTTGAAGACTTCCCTCTGGGTCCTGGGAAATTGTGTGGCGCTTTGTGCATTAATCACACATCGAGCACATATCCCAAATATGTGCGTCTAAAATTAGAATAGTATCTGCTTTTATTTCTTTTATATGACAGAAAACTGAATATTTTAGGGGGTTTAAGTGTTGGTAGGAAAAACAAACGATCTGAAAATGTTTTCACTGCTTTTTTCTTTTAAGAAAAAAACTTTTTGTTATTTTACAGACAAAATTATTTTAAATTCAAAAATAACCCTTTACTTTCAGGCCTTATTTTATGACATCTCATATAGTTGTCCTTTATACACAACAAGATAATCTTGAAGGTGTTAAATGTTAGTCGCAGTGCCAGCCTGTATCAACGGCATGCGATACAAATAAAGCATACGCAGCTCTGCGTGTGTTTGTAATGACTGAGAGGAAACATAACCAATGTAAAAAGAGGAAAGTAATTTAAATGCAGTTTAAATAGACCCCCTCCCACACACACACACACACAGCACCTTCCACCCACCACCACCCCTGCATGCTCTCCAAAACTCTTAAACCTTTTTACAATGCTTCTTTAGTCATCTCAGCACACACACACACACACACACACACACTCCCACTTATTTGCCCAGACAATAGCTAATAGAAGAGCACTGTGAGAATTATTCCTGTGCCGTGCTGCATAGCGCTGTGTCACTGCTGCTCTCTCCAACCCTGGCACTCCTGCTCTGACATTTGTTTATTAAGGGAAAGTTTCAGTCCTTTAAGAGCCATTGCTGCTTAAAGGGAGCCTTTACTTTGAGATTATGACATAGCTTTTTAATATAACCAGTGTCATCTTGTGAAAAACACGCCGGGCAAAGCCATCCAATATGTGAACCTTCATTTTATGATTATGTTTCTTTCTTTTTTTTTTTGAGTTCGAAATCCTGCAGGTTTGGAGTTGTAATAGCACTTGGCTGCGAGGGCTCAAATGTTTGTTTGCTTGGCTGGTTTGGTTTTCTTTGGCCAACAGGGACTAAGGAAGTCTTGGAATGTAGCTGCGCGAGTGTCCTCGGATGGGCCATTTCTCTTATTCGCTGCTTTTTATCTACGTGTTGCACACCAGCTGAGAGAGCCTAATTTCTCACCTTCATCATCTCTGCTTCTCTTGGCCTCCTACAACGTTTGCTCCTCCAAGCATCCTCTTTGCCCTCCCCTCCTCTTCCTTTTCCTCTCATCCTTTAAATTTTGTCAAATTTTAGAAAAGAGCGAAGCGGCCGAGAGAGGCGGCCGGTCAGCCACGGAGGCTTCGTAGAGGGCCCACAGTGGGCATTGTGTCCGAGCCCGAAACACTATTTACCGCAGCCCTCTCTGGGCTCCCTGGAAACAAAGCCAGTATTGATCCCCCAAATGAACCTGCACAGCAGTCTTTATTGTTAGATCTTTATCTATTAAAATCAGGGGAGGAGAAAAGCAGCTCTTTCAGCACATTCTTTTGCATCTGTTGGCTTATTGATTGTTTTGCCAGAGCTGTGTGCATCTTCTGGAATGCTTGGGATTAGAAAATATGGCAATGTTTATCATTTCTATCTGCACTTACAGCGTATGTAAAGAAACGTTCCCAGGTGGCTGCAGGTAGAGCAGAGACCTACTGAAAAAGTGGGGAAACAAGGCAACATTTACGTTTATTTAAGTACAGTAAGCGAAAGATTACCTCCAATCAGTACTTTGACATCATTTTGACTTTCTGTTTTTATTCAGACTAAAACTTCAAAAGGCCAAGCCGCCCCTGTGCCCTCAAAGTCTAAATTTCACGCCTGTTATTTTAGCCAAAATGGCATATTGGATGATATTTGCACAGTTGGTCCCTTGAACATTTGACAGTCTTTGGACAAGGATTGTTCATTGCACCTAACAGCAGAGCCACTGTTGACACAGACTCGTAAACCTCAGGGCGCAGAGGTGGCTCGGGATTTGAAGCGCTGCATCATGGGAAGACGATTTTGGGTTGGCAGTCAGGGGGGGAAAAAGGCTAATGTGATCCCAGCACCTTGACAGTGAATAAACTGTGTATTGTGCCAAAAAGAGAGACGAGACTTTCTGTTTTTTTGCAGCATGTTTGTTCACACGCGCTTAAGGTTATCATTCTGTCTAATATACAGTATATTTTTGCTTGTCACATGCAATGCCAAACAGTGCAGGCCATAGTGCAACACCTCTGCAATATTATGTCATCATCTTAAAGCTTTAGGCAACACGAAGGAATGCTACAACATTTAAAATGAATCTGAAAATGGGAATTTGGAGCAAAAAGCATCAGGGGGGAGATGATGGAAATGGAGAGACAAGAAAGAAAAAAGAGGGCGATTTCTTAAAAGACGAAGCAAATTCTGTGACTAAAATTATGCACCCAAGTAATATTTGATCCCTCAAGCTGATCATGGAGTTTGGCAATGGGACAACGAGGTGAAGGTGTCCTATAAAAGATGAAATATGCCTTTGTGGTCCAAACTTGTGTTCGGAGCTTAAACCTGGATGTTCACTTCTAATCCCTCGACGGCCAACCTCAGTGTAACTTAATCATCTGCACTAAATTTTAATCCCATTCCTCTGCAAACAGAGGACTGAAGGTCAGAGTTTTGCAGGTGAAGAAATGGCTTGTGTCTCTTTGTCCGCAGGCAACATGCTGCCTGTGTTCTGTGTGGTCGAGCACTACGAGAATCCCATGGATTTTGACAGCAAGGAGGAGCACGCTGAATTCGTCCTGGTGCGCAAGGACATGCTCTTCAACCAGCTCATCGAGATGGCCCTGCTGTCACTGGGCTACTCCCACAGCTCAGCAGCCCAGGCCAAAGGTGAGCCCTCACCCACTCTCATCATCGTCATCTTTTCTCTGATCTGACGCTCTTCTTTTATGCTTATCAGCGTCTTTTCTGACATGCTGGTGCTTGTGCACACACACACACACATACACTCTGCGACCATAATAGCCTACCGCCAGCAGATCTGAAGCCACAGTAACACAACCTGACACTGATCCCAGAAAGTCTCCCAGGGGTCATACGCTACATATTCCCACACAGAGGTATCCTCGCACTCTCACAGAGGCTAGCTGCACAGTAAAATGTTTACATGCACATTCGCTCGAGCGCTCATATTGTATATATTTATATACATATACCCTCGGTGACAGTGGGTGGGAGGGGCAGGTGGAGGAAAGGGTCTGCTAATTGCACTTGAGCACACGTAGGCTGAGTGCGGCTGTTTCAAGGTGCCTCGACGCATGCTCTTTTATTATAGGCTGCCCATCACGCTGCACATACATACACATCCTAGGCCACCTTTCTCATGAGCAGTCTTCCATCTCTCTTTCTGCTGTGCGGGCTGCCACTGTTTTAAAAGCACACTCAGGAAAAATTCCTGCGTGGTTGTTGCGATTTCAGTGAAAATTAAGGAAATAAAGAGCATTTATGGCACCGGAATGCTTCTGGGGGTATCTACGCGTGGCTTCGTTGCTACCGTGCATGTTTACGGCTTTAAAATGAACAGTGAAAGCGAGCTTCGTGCTGATTTATTCGCTTCCGTGACCATTGTTGTGCTTTTGTTTGCAAATCTGTGATTTTTTTGTCACGCGTTTCCACATTTTTGCCCATATTTACGTGTGCCTGCGTGTGTTTTGCATCATCCAGGTATGATTCAGGTGGGGAAGTGGAACCCCGTCCCACTGTCATATGTGACAGACGCACCAGACGCCACAGTGGCAGACATGCTGCAGGACGTCTACCACGTGGTCACACTTAAGATCCAGCTGCACAGGTAAGCAACCAATCCACAAGTTTGGGCACATGTTTACTGGAATATTTACACTTGCACCAGCCCAGAATGTGTGCACATGTTCATACATATTCTTACCTGAGCGCTAACCACAAAACTGTGTTTGAAGAGAACAGTTAGTCATGATCACATTAGCATTTCCCCCTCTGATCTGTTGCGCTGTTTATCCATCTAGATCATTTCGATGTGAGTTTCAGCGTTTTGAAGATATATTGGTTGTAGAAATGTCTTCTTCTCATCGGTGCAAAAATGCCAAGAGAATACATAATTAAACAAAACTCAGCAGCAATATGGATTTCCAGAAACCATAACCTGGTTGCTCAAAACAGTCCACCAGCCTAGCTGTGAGTAGTTTCATGTAGGAACTATTTTCTTTTTGCTGTCTACATCCGCCACGCAAAAGATTGGTGCAGCTAGCAAACAGTACAACTCAAGCAAAGGAGCTAGCGTCAGTGTTTATCACACTGTTTATTACATGTGCTGGTGGTGTTTTTGTCACTAGCATAAGCCTCTTGAGAGTGACACAGTGAACGGCTGTAGTTAAAAGTGTTTGGGGGGGTTTTCTGGAAAGAGAGATGGTCAACTTTTCAAATGTGTCACAAGTCCTTCAAGTAAGCAACTTGGCAGCCATCTTGAAACACATGCAGGCACTTACTTGGGTGGTTAATTTGAAGCGTTTTTGTGAATAAGTGTGATTTTCAAGACTTGTTTAAAATCTAAAATCTTTTTTCTTGACTTTGTCCTAAATTAAGGCTTTTAAAAAGCTTTGTTTTTACCTTAAAAGCTCTACTGCTACTAGCTTCTTTGCTGTTGTGTGAATTGACCATGATTCAAACGGGACATCAGCTGACATCTCCCAAACTGGACAGTTCACACCAAAATCAGTTAGATAAATACCAAAGCAGGCTGAATTAAAAATACATAAATTAGACTTTTTTTAAATGAACTCTCTCTTGAAAGTGTGTAATCTCAATCTCAATCTCTCAATCTCTGCTTCTAGCAATAACACATATAGCATGTGCCAGTTTACGTGTTTAATACCGAGAATAACATTATTACTCAGACTGGCCGTTCCCAGGAAGTGGGAAAAACCCATTCATAAACCAAAAATAAAACCACTGATTAATTGATCAGAACACAGATTCCGGAGAATTCGAGCTCTTGCTAACAATCTAGCTTATCCACAGCTGAGAAGTGATTCTATGAAATTAACCGCCGAGTGATTTTTAACATTTTGCAGTGGAAACATGAAATATGATAAGTAAATAACCGTTTTTAAACCAAGCTCTGCTTCAGCTCCAAAAAACCCCCAAATAAACGAATGTGGTCGGTGACTGCGTGGCTAAAAATGACTCACCTGAAATAGTTCCATAAATAAACCTGGCTGCAGCGGATATTTTAGGCAAAATATATTTCTTTTGAGTCTAACGTTGTGAATGATGAAGATGAAACCTTTACTATACTGAAGACTGCTAGCTTTCTCCTGTCATTGCTCACCATATTGTATGCTAAATTATTCTCTGTAGGTGTGAGGCTTTGTCATATTTATACACACGGCATACAAGCATTTATAGACACGGACACAAACAGCTTCATATGCACTCATGGACACACACACACACACATGCGCGCGCACAAACAGCCGACTGGCTCTGGTGTGGAGGCTTGTGCCAGCTGCACGCTAACCCAGTGTTCTGCAACCCTCTGGAGAGCTGTTTCTACTCTTTTTCTACCTCGCTCTGCCTCTTCCTTTTCTCTTCCCTCTCCTTCTGTTTCCCCCGCCACCAACACCATCACCACCCACCTCCACCAATGAAGCACTCACGCACACACACAGGCACGGCGACTGATGTGAACACGTCCACCAGCCAGACTACAGAAGGTTGTGTTTATTTCCGGCTTGCTAGCCCCTGAATGCATGGATAGCTGTCTTTCTCCGCTGCCCCTCTCTCTCTCTCTGCCTGTCTCTCTCTCTCTCCCACTCTCCCTCCTCTCGTTCACTTCCGTCTCCCCAGAGGCTTTCTAGCTGCTGGAGCAGTTTAAGGTGTTCTGGAAAATCCATTGTTTGTGTGTTAGAGTGTGCATGTGTATGTTTTCTTAGTAGCAGATGTGGTGTGCATCCCTTTTCTGTTCTCCTCGCTCATAACATTTCCAACACACCGGCTGACAGATTTATGGACAAGCACACACACACACAGCATCTCATGCACCCTCACCGCTCTCTTATTCACGTCTCGAGCCAGGTTTAACGTAAAGTAATTCAGCGGTAAGTGTAATGCGAAACACACACAAAGTCACGGGAGCCCAGTTGAGTTATTCTCTGCTTCCACCCACCACGTAAATATATTTTACGTTTTCAAACACCCAGAATTCAGTCGGTGTCTCTGCAGCTCGCGATTGCAGCACAGACAGTCTGTTTGATATACAGCTTCATTTCGATTACGCCGTATATACGCAATTGTCAATATTGTTATTGGTTTGTATTTGTTTTTCCCCCCTTTTCTTACCCACGCCGCCAAACTCTTAAAGCCCCCCCGCCCCGACTGCAGCAGAAATCTCGCCAGTAACACCTTAAATTGTTTCGCCGAGCACAACAAGCCAGGAAGGTAGAAGTAACACGAAATAATAGTCGCCACATGCAGCTGATGTATAATTCATGCATCAATCCAGCAGATGTGTTGTATAAAGTAATTAACTAATCAGAACAATCAGGAGAGAGAGAAAAAGAGAGAGAGAGAGAGAATATGAAAGAGGGGGAGAGATCGAGGCAGGCAGATACAGAGAGTGGGAGAGAGAGAGAGAGACAGAGCAATCTCCAGATGCATCTGCTTGATGCGCCAAATGAAATCTGTCTGTCTTGGAGGGGCGCTTGCAGCAGGAAAAACGAGCAGGGACCCGTGTGCGTTCAGCTCGCTTTCTCTCCGGTTTCCTCTCTGTCTTTGCTGCTCTGCCTATCTGATGCAAGCCAGCCAATTTCTCCACGTATGCATGTGTATGTTCCTCAACCGGGGTCAGGCGAAATGCTGCAAACTGTGTTTGACACCTTTGTTTTTGGGGAGAGCGATTTGCTTCCAGAATTTTCAGCTCAGCACTTGATTAGCGGGGAAATGATCAGTCGAGTTGACTGACAGAAAATTAATCAGGAGTAATGATGAAAAAGGTTCAAGCGTCTTCTCCTGGCTGAGGATTTGGTGCTTTTCTCTTGTTTTTAGAAAATAGAACACAACAATTTTAACATGCGATTTGAGACATTTTTGTTATGTTTTCTGACAAATCGAATAGCAAAAGCATTGAAATGATGCTACAATAAAATATCCACTGGCTGCAGGTGATAATGTCCACAGGTTTTTCAAATATTAGGCCGACGTTTTACTGTTTTAGGAGTAGACTGAAGAAAACAAATCTCGACTCTTAAATTTTTCTTATGCTTTTATGTTGTACACGCTGGATACTGTGCATTTTCAGCGGGGTAGCATTGTATACTCACTAGATATGTCATTTGCAAGATTTCACTATAATTATCTGCGTTTTGTATTAGTACACAACAGTAATTTCTTCTAATGAAAATTTCACATAAAACAATGCCAACACGTTCAGTGTGTGGTTTTATTTTTCAGAGTAGGAAAAAAGCTTCGACTCTTAGCTAGCCAGCATTAACATCACGACACCTGCTGACCCTTTCCAAAAGCTGCAGATTGTTTGGTTTTCCGTCCGTCCGGCAACCTCTAAGAGTAAGACATGGACGGCGCTTCACACCCAGCTTTCTGACTGTTACACTTGAAATATCAAATGTAAATGTGAAAATATGTGATTTAAGATGCAGCGAGATTTTTAAGGTCTACGACGCTGGATTGAAGTTGCACAAAAATACCTCCATAGTTCAGTGTGTAATCCACATGTGTAATGTCTATACTCAGTTGCAAGATTGTGAATTTTAGCATTTCATTGAAGATCCCATCAAAGCTGCTGCCTTCCTGTCTCAGTCTCCATCTGAATTTGTTTTCATGCTCTACTCTTTCCCCCCTTCTCCTTTCTATCCCTGTCTGTCCTTTCCTCACACTCATCCCTTTCTTCTTCTCCCCATCCTTATCCTCCCTGTCACCCCTCCACCCCAAACCCCTGTGT